GGGGTGTATTGTCAGATTTTAACTACCGTATGTCAGCCCTAACTGAGGAAATGTCTTTTCATTTCCCGTCTGGGTTAAGGAGTACCAGACAAAAACAAGAGAGGGTCCTTAATGAAGACACAGACATAATTTAAAGTATAACTCCATTTTTGCTCAACAATCTCCTCTGGGTCATCAATGGACATTGCAACGATTTTAACAAACTTTTTTGTAGATTCAACCTTTTCCTGTTCTGACTAAAAAACACAGTTTGCCTCACCATGTCCTTTCCAGACTGATTCCTGAACGGGAGGGTCTGTAATCATTATAATGACCTGGTGCACTTTCAGTGTGCTGATGAGGAAAGCTTGAGTGTCAGAATCCTTTTGGAAGTAGTTAACCCCTAGGAGGTATCTCACCAAAAATGAAACTTCTGTTGCAAGCGATGAATACAAATTTGACTTAGTGCAGAATTCTGGGAAAGTCTGTGAGCCAACAACAGAAGCAAGAAATTACATTTCTGGGGGCCTCCCATACACCAACTGTGTTCAGGGCATGTTGCTATATTGCACTGAATCAGCAGTTATAGAATATTACAGCAGCTTCAGATCGCAATGGAAAAGTCATTTTTAATTACATTAAATTACAAAATGGCTTGTGGAGCAATTTTATACGCTGTCATCATTTTTTTAACATAAGTGGAATTTTGTTATTTCATGGGCAATTGTTGAAACTAAATTCCTATCACATATATTCTCCATATAGAGCAGGGCATGCGGTCTGGGGAGGCAGGTGAGGGAGAGCCATCAGGGAAGAAAAGCCTGCCAGCTTCAGACTTTTTCTCCATTTAGCGGGAAAAGCCTCCCCGTTGTGTAACCTGTCATAGATGGAGCGCCGCCAGTTACTTACAGGCGGCGCTGCATCCAACGTTTGACAGCTATGTTAGGTTACACCGCAGAGGGGTTCCCCGCTGCTGTGTGTAACCTAGCACTGTGAGGCCAGAGCTACAACAGCCTCTGGCTTGGAGTCAGAGGCTTGAGCTTTGTGGATGGTTTGGACCAACAAAGTGCAATTGGTCCAAGCTGTCCAATCACAAAAAAAGACACTGATAGCATCCATCTAGATGTCATCAGTGATGAACAAGTGATGGATAGGGAGGCTCCTCCCTCTCCCCTCCCTCCTCCATACATAGCTCGGTGACCTGGGATGGGCCGGGGGGTTGCCTCACCTGGCATGGACCTCACCGCACGTGAGAAATACATACCATAAAGTCATAGGGCAGTCCAGGCATGAAATATGAAGGTGTTTTGGTGAAGGTGATTTTATGTGGCGTTTTAACTATTGGAATGTTTTCCAGTTCTGCTTTTACTACACCGGCACCTAAGGCGAGAGACGACATGGGAGAAACAAAAAATTAAATATTAGCAAGAAGTTCCAACCTCATATACATATATCATTTATTCTAAACTAGACAGTTATAGGCTCTACATAACATTTTCACATTTTTCTAATTAGATTATTAAAATAGTTCATACTTTAGCAGACATTATAGTGCATAGAACACATTTATTGAGTTATTGTTGCATTGGCTACCCTAAGATGGAACTCTTTTTTTTTATATTTGTAACTTAATAGGCCAACATCATAAAAATAGCAGCTTTTGCTGCAATACGCACTTTCAGTCCAGAGCTCTGCCCTGCAGTAATTCCTTTCTACCACTAGATGTCTCCAGTCTTCCTGGTTGAATGATAGCCAGTGTCATTCAACCCACATTCTTTGTACTAAGGCTGTCATGGACCTACCCCTGAAGTGGTGCCAGACCTTGGAGAAGAGGTACATGTGTGCATGTATTTAAGTATGTAAGTTCATCTAAAAATGTGAAAAGGTTTCTCTTAGTAGATATGACAGGAAACATGGTAACTACATAAGAACGGCAGAGAGAAGTCACAGGAAATCTTACCTGAGTCAGTGATGACAGTGACGGACACATACAGGGTCCATGCCATCATTTCCTGTTCATTTCTCAATGCTTTTAGTAGATCTTTTCTTTCCAGAATAGCTTTTCCTTCACCGTCATTGATCTGATGACCAAAAGTATAAAAGAGATTAGAGCTGAACTCCAGCTAGATAAATAAAAAAGTCCTGCGTATGGAATTATCCCAATTTGTTATCCCAATTTGGCTGCAAAAGTGGAAATACACTTTAGGGCCACTATATATACTTGTCAGCAGTAGATATGGGCAAAAAAACAGGAGGCTTTAGAACCCCTTTAAGCTGCCTGGATCCACAGACTGTTACCCAACATGTATGGTAACCTTCACATAGACTGACCTAATAATAAAGAGTAACGTTCTCACCTTAGTTCTTCTCACTGAGTCTGGCAAATGTTTCCTTTCCTTGCCCTTCTTCACTCCAAATAGTACAAACGTATCACCATTTACTGGGTTGCCATTTATATAACTAGGACAATAAAAAGAAACATAATGTTCAACATTGTGCAGTTTATAGTTTATTAACAAATCACGCTGCATGGAAATGATATAGATCTCACGTTGCTTGAATTTCGATAGCATAGTCTTGATCTTGGATATAGTAATATGGGTTACGTGGCTTGATACTGATGTCGACATCTGAATGGACTGTGTATGAAGAAAAGGAGTACAATATATAAAGTATAGTCAGTAAATATTTTTAATCATAACATATCTGCACAAAGGTATGTTATTTTATTTCAGAGTTATCATAGGATTAGCTTCTCTCCTGCTGGTAACATTTTTTTTAAAATAAGGCAACACACAATTGCCTAACTGACCATTTGCTCAAAAGTAAACCTGCTATGACAAAAATATAGGGAGTACAATTTGTGTACTCCTGAAAATGAGAGTTACCTGACTTTTATTCTGACACTCTGGCTTCTGTACTTTAAGATACTGATATGGAACAAGTAGCTAGAACGAAGAATGATCCCTTACATTGGTGTTAGTAGAAAGAATAATCCCCCCCCGCCCCTACTTTGATAACCAGTTGGAAGAAGACTGATTACTTACATTGGTGTTAGTGGGAAGGAGAATGATCCCATACATTGGTGTTAGGGAAGAAGACCACTTCTTACATTCGTGGTCAGTGGGAAGAAGAAGGTCCATTACATTGGTGGTCAGTGGGAAGAAGAATGTCCATTACATTGGTAGTCATTGGGAAGAAGATTGTCCATTACATTGGTGGTAAGTGGGAAGAAGAATTTCCATTACATTGGTTGTCATTGGGAAGAAGAATGTCCATTACATTGGTGGTAAGTGGGAAGAAGAATTTCCATTACATTGGTGGTCATTGGGAAGAAAAATGTCCATTACATTGGTGGTAAGTGGGAAGAAATGAATGCCCATTACATTGGTGAATGGTGGGAAGAGTAGTGGCTCCTTACATTTTTGGTCAGTTGGAGGAAGAATTTTTCTTACTTTGGTGGTCAGTAAGCATAAGACTGCTCCTTACATCGGTGTCAGTGAGAAAAAGAATGCTCCTTATATTGGCGTAAGTGGGAAGAAGAAGAATAAGAAGAAAGAATTCCCATAACATTGGTGGTCAGTGAGAGAAAGAATGCCCTTTCTCTGTGGCAGCCAGCAGAAAAAACAATGCCCCTTACATTGGTAATCTTTGAAAATATTCTCCTCCTTACTTTACTCTTAGTGGAAACAAGAATGCCCCCATTACATTGGTGGTAAGTGGGAATATAAATGTCTGTTACATTATTGTCAGTGAGAGAAAGAATGTCCATTACAATGGTGGTCACTGGGGAAAACATTTCCATTTCATTGGTGGTGGGAAGAAGGGAGCCCCTTACATTGGTGGTCACTGAGAAGAAGAATGTCCAGTACATTGGTGGTCAGTGGGAAAAAGAAAGACCATTACATTGGTGGTCAGTGGAAAGAAGAGAGCCCTTTATATTGGTGGTCAATGGGAAGTATAATGTCGCTTACATTGGTGGTCAGGAGAAAGAATGGCCCTTTACATTGAAGGTCAGATGAAAGAATCAGTACCCTGATACCTGAACATATATTTTTATCATCTCTTCCATTTTCTGCTGTGTCTTTTTTGTTAGTAATTGCTTTATTACATAAACCATAATTTTGTGTTATATATATTTAACATATTATCATGTTCTATTATCATGTTCCCAGTTATCATTGTTTCTCTCTATTTTTCACTTACCATAGTCCTTCACCTCAAAGTATGCAGTATATTCTTGAACAGAGCCCTCATAGCATGCTGAAATGGTCCAAACCCCTGCTCTGCAAGATAAAATGTATAACAATTTGACTGAATGGCCGAACAAAAGATATTGATTGGACTGTTTGTATTTGCCAGTTATCCACCACGAAATCCAGGAACTATACAGACCATCCATCCAAATTACACAACACTTTCTCATAAACTGAATATATTAAACAATAACAATCATGATTGATAATGACAAGCATTGTTTTCAGCAATGAATGCAGAAAATAAAAGTCACATGGCCCAAAACAACCAAAAAGAAAAATAGAACTTGAATTACAACTTAGTGAATTAGGCCTATTAATATCAACTAGCATTTCTGATGAGGATTTATAAATTTGTAATCTGTTTAGGAGAACTGGTATTAAAGTGAATGTGAAGTGAATTTCGACAAATTGTTATGTTGTTATCTTATCGTCAGAGCTAAAGAAATGAAAATATGGTACATATACTGTATATACGCAGTATAGATACACTAATCAAGCATAATATTAGGACCATGTGAAGTGAAAAACATTGATTATGTGGTTACAATGGCACCTGGAAGTGTGGGGATATATTACAATGACACCTGGAAGTGGTGAACATTTTGTCCCTGAAGTTGATGTGTTGGAAGCAGAATAAATGGGCAAGCAAAATGATTTCAGCTACTTTGACAAGAACCAAATTATGATGGTGAGACCACAGGGTCAGAGCAACTCCAAAACTGCAGCTCTTGTTGGATGTTACCGGTCTGCAGTGGCCAGGACCTACCAAAAGTAGTCTAAGGAAGGAAAACCGGTGAACCAGCGATAGGGTCATGGGTGGCCAAGGCTCATTGATGTACGTTGGAAATGAAGGCTGGCTCATGTAGTCCGGTCCAATAAAAGAGCTACTGTAGCCTAAATTGCTGAAAAAGTTCATGCCGATTCCGATGGACAGAGCATCGCAGTTTGTTGAGTATGGGGCTCTGTAGCCACAGACCGGTCAGAGTGCCCATGCTGACCTCTGTTCACTGCTAAAAGCGCCTACAATAGGCAAACGAGCATCAGAACTGGACCATGGAGCAATGGAAGAAGGTGACCTGGTCCGAGAAATCATGTGCTAAATCATGTGGATGGCCAGGTGCATGTGGGTCATTTACCTGGGGAAGAGATGACACCAGGATGTACTATGGGAAGAAGACAAGCCAGCGGAGGCAGTTTGATGCTTTGGGCAATGTTCTGCTGGGAAACCTTGCGTCCTACCATTAATGTGGATGTTACTTTCACACGTACCACCTACCTAAACACTGTTGCTGCCAAATTATACACCTTCATGGAAACAGTATTCCATGATTGCAGTGGTCTCTTTCAGCAGGATAATGCACCCTGCCACACTGCAAAAATGGTTCAAGAATGGTTTGGGGAACACAATAATGAGTTTAGGGTGTTAACTTGGCTTCCAAATCCCCTAGAGCTCTGCCTAATCCAGCATCTGTGGGATGTGCTGGAAAAAAACAAGTCCAGAGAGAGAGGGGGGAGAAAGAGAGAGAGAGAGAGAGGGGGGGAGATTCACTCAAGTGTAGAGTATTCAAGAAATTAAAATAAGCACCAGCAGGGAAGGAAGTGGATAGGAAAGGACTGCACTCCTAGTTTCATCATTGCTAGGCTGAACCTGTTTGTAATATTTTATTACATGGAAAGACCATTTATTTATTTAAAGTGAGCCAGTCGCTAGCTGCATAAAGTGATATTAAAATCTACCAGTAAAAATAAGATGAATACTTATTTTGTCAGCAGACTGAAACCTTTACTCTTTGCAGCTCTCCAATGGTATTAAGGACTGTCAATCTGATGGTTCCTTACCACACACTGTAGTCCCTCCCACTGGCCCCTAGGTCACTATAGTTGGAAAACTCATATCACCCAGCAGGGACAAGGTATTAGAGAAGCAATCTAGACATTGAGTTTCTGGCCTGGACCTACACTGCACGATTTTCCAATAGAAAGGAATGACAGTTTACTCCTGATGACCAGCTTGAAATGGAGTATTTTCTCACAATCATATTATCAGGACTCTGTGAAGAAAATATGATCTGAATTAGAAAATGTACTTAAAGTGAACCCACACTTTGCCTATGCAAAACAAAGCAACAGGTTGCATTTTAAAGCTTAACTTGAGATTACCCCCATCCCACAATTCCTGCTTCATTATCCCACCTCAGAGCATCCCCTACCTTATTTACATCCCCTACCTAGGATACATACCTCTGTCCCTAGGTCTTCAGTCCAGTAGCATATCATAACAGGTCCTCTTCCTCCTATGGGGGCTCTAAATGCTGCATGTAAAGACATGGTGCTTTTGTCAGCAGGAAGTCCAGGGGGTTTGTTTTATAATTTACCCACATGGGGCGCTCACAGAAAGACTGCAGAGCAGAGACAGTGAGCTTGCATTTGTGATTGGAGTTGAGCTTTAATGCCAACCTCACAACTACTTACCTTTCTTCATCCCCTCAACTTTACATTCATCTGGAGAATCAAAGTTATATACCTGGCTCTTTTGGGTATGGAGAGCATGTGACTCACTTCCCTTTCTCCCACGTGGCAGTGCTGATGTTCAGTGATTGGATGATTAAGATCTCAACGCTGTCACATAGGGGGTTAGAAGAGAGTGCTCTGCAATGCGTAAGTTCCAAATCACTTGTGTTAAAGTTTAATGGTGCGCTGACAGTGGGGCAATTATTACCACAAACGGTGCAAGTATCCTCACCTGATAATTGATGATTAGTTGTTTATTCTGAGTCTTCAGATTATAATTCACAGTATAAATCCGGGCAAGAACTGGCAATAGAAAGGGTATAACGTAAGAAAAAAATGTATAAGTATAAGATGAATAACCCATCATGGTGCACCAAAGCAGGAACCAAAGAACCATTTTAGTGTATGTTCTAATAAACAACTATTAGAATACTGGACCTTTTTTGTGTATCACTCAGCTGTAGATCCTCAAATAATCTCTGAATTGGTGCTGACACTGTCCTTTCTTCTGCAGGGGGGCTACTTTTGTTCCCGATGGTCCCTGTGTGTGTTGTAAAGTAGTCACCGCTCCAAGCTCGCTCCTGTGATGGACTACAATCTCAATACAAGTTAGTAGACTAAATGTGAGATTGTAGTCCATCCGGAGAGTGAGCTGAGTGAAGAACATTACTCAGTTGTGGACACTCAAATCATCTCTGAATTGGTACCGACATTGTCCTTCCTTCTTGAGGGTGGCAAGAAGGACAACAATCTCAATACAAATTAGTAAACTAAACAGGAGTAAAATGAGATTGTAGTCCATCACAGGAGCGAGCTTGGAGCGGTGACTACTTTACAACACACACAGGGACCATGGGGAACACAAGTAGCCCCCCTCCAGAAGGAAGGACAGTGTCAGCACCAATTCAGAGATGATTTGATGATCTACAGCCGAGTGATACACAAATAAGACAAATTTTTGTTAATAGTTAGGGTAATTGAATGCACTTTTAAGATTTAACTCCTGAGTTTAGTGTCACTTTCACAATAGGTGGTAAAGCGGCACAAAAAAAACCCCACCCAAAAAACAATGAAAGAACCAAGAGCCAAGATCATAAATAGGGTTTTACCTGTAGACCCTGAAGTATAGACAGTTTTGTCTGTCTGTATGAAGATGTATCCGGCTTCAGGTGATACCAAAACAATTTTGCTTAGAGAACACGATGGGGATGTCACGCTTACAATGACAAAATGTTTTTTTGAATGATAACTGTATGACGATATCTGAATCAAATACAATTAACAATTAAAGATAATGCATGTGTATATAAAATCAGCACACTATGTTTGATCAATTTTGATTCAAAATGATTAAATCTACATTTCAGGTGGTCCACTGATTCTCATCTTGATGCATATTACTGTGTCTCTAAACTGTAAAAAGCCGGTGTCATGAAAAGATATTGTATTCTTTTACAATATACGGCCAACCAGCCCACCATGAGTTTTTTGAACATCCATTCCAAAACCATGAGAAATAATATTGAGTGACTATAACAGCGTCCATTCTTCTGGGAAGGTTTTCTCCAAACTTTGTAGGTTGTCTGTGGGACTTGTGCCCGTTCAGCCAAAAGTGTGTTTTATGAGGTCAGGTATGAATGTTGGGTAAGATGACCTGGCTTACAATTGTCCTTCCGATTCATCCCATAGGTTTTCAGTATGGCTGAGCTCAGAGCTGTGTGGAGGCAACTTGAGTTATTCCACTCCAAAACCATCAAGCCATGTCTTTATGAAGCTGGCTTTGTGCACAGGGACACATATACAATCCTTAGTATGGGGGGGGTTTAGGTATCATAAAAATGGTTTTAGTTAAAATGACATGAATTATTTAATAACATAATTAAAATCCATACAAAACACAACGCATGAAACCCATTAATGTTACATATTCCAACAATGATCTCATTTAGAAACACCCCCTTGGGTCCTTGTTTTCTTGAAATTTGTTCTTCTCTTGTGTAGTCCACTTGCAATCACGAGCTCAAACTCAACCTCAGCCATTGATAGATTGAGGAAATGGTGAACTAATGCAATTATGTCCTGCTATAGGACTCATCACAAGTCGTACTCTAGCTGGCCTCTTTACTGTGATCAGGTGACTTGGAAAGGCTAAAAAGGGTTTTCTCTTGGGGCAGCCCCCTCTTTTTAAAAGTCAACCTAGGGAATATATATTCAGTAGTATAACACATTAGGGGGAGATTTTTGGTGGTATAACAGATAAGGGGGAAAATTTGCAGTGGTATTGCAGATCAGGGAGACATTTCTAATGATATAACAGATAAGGGAGAGATTTTCAGAGAAATAACAGCTTGGGGAAAGATTTTCAGAATGATTTCAGGGACAATTAGATGATGGTGGTCATTTCTGAAAATGCCTATACTTATATTATTATACAGTGTGTCTTTTGCACACTTCTAAAGTAGATTTTGAAGACATCACAGAGTTTTCTTCCAGGAAGATATTCCTTTTTGTGTGTGACTTCATTTCAGTTGCTATTTGGCTGCTGTACACCCCCCACTCAACTACCCCTCTGCATTTTTAAAAATGTGATGTTTGCGTTTTTTTTGCAGTTAGTTTAAAAAAAGACAAGCACACGTTCAATGAAATCAGAGAAAGCAATCTCAATACAGGAGAAGAGCTTGTACAACTGTGCAAGACTGAAAGTAAGACCGGATTTCAGCTTTAAGTAGCTACACTACAGTGTTATTGCTTTTATAGAGCAGGCTGGATTTAAAGTGCAGCTGAAGCTTCAAAAAAGTTTTGTCTCTTAGTATTGCTTACTTTTGCTCTGTTATGCCCTGGTCAGTGGATACTTGTGCTTAGATTGGGGACCTAAAGTGAGATAGAATCCAGCGATAGGTTAGGCCTTCAATGACTGCATTTATATAGGTAGAGGACTGGTGGCATTGTAGTTACTACCTTGCAGGGAGGGACCAGCACTAAGTGAGTCAGGCTGTCTTCCTGCATGACCATTGGTTTCAATTGATCGTCCCTTCAGTATCCTGAGGAATCAACTAAACAAGACTTATTCAGTAATGATCTGCATAGGACATGTCATCTGCTGGAGTTGGCAAAGGCCTGTAATATCTTCTTTTAATCTATCTTCTTTTAATCATCTTCTTTTAATCTTCTTTTAATCATACACACACAAACGATAGATAGATAGATAGATAGATAGATAGATAGATAGATAGATAGATAGATAGATAGATAGATAGCCACTATGTGAGCCCTCTTGTAGTTGGGTAGTTAACATGACCTGAAAAGAAATAGAGAATCCCAAACAGGACCAAGCCAATGTTGCACATCAGGATATCACAAGGGTTTTGGGACTCAAGATCCCAGTGGCTATACTACTGCATCCCTACTTATCTTACCTTGATTTTCATTATTCCAAGGAATTGATTACCAGCATTTACTGAGACCTTTTCTTTAACAAGTGTAATTTCTCCTGCTGGAAAGTCTTCCACATGCACATCAGCATCAAATGCAGAGTTACGTCCATCAATCATAATAGTTTCCTCAAAGTCTACGTGGAGCACGCTGGGTGTAATTAGGATGCATCTGTCAATGGAAAGTACAGTTCTTTACATGTTTCTATAAAAGGGACAGGCCACACAAAAATCAGATTTCTGTTTGGGATACCAGCTCCATTTCCAGTCCCCCACCACTAACACTATGACTGGATCTTCTGACAGCTAGAGTCTATAGATTTTACTTTATGGAAAATGCAATACTAGAACTAGGGATTCTAGTCCCAGTGACCATCTAAAAAATGCCATGTAATGATACTGAACTATAAAAATATTCTCCTCATGATAGTTTTCTACCTTTTTTTACTTTCTTCAGTTTCTGTTCTAGAACTGGCACATGCCAAGCTGTCTAACAGTCTGGTCTGGGGGAGGGTTTCATATAAATGTTCTCCACCACATTGTGCTGACTTGAAGAGTCAGGCTTTTATAACATTAAATTCAGGTCCTCGTTATATGCAGAGCAAGGCTACAGGTTCATTTAATCTCCCCTCCCCAACAATACATACTTTCCCATCATTCTCCCCCAACTATATTTAGCCACTGTGACCAGAAGAAGGCACCATGTGAATGTTCTGAGTTGCTCAAGTCATAGTTTACACAGGGCTTTGGCCTCCCCCTATGGTGTTTGGTGATTGACCAGGCAATAACACATCGAGTGAGTCATATGTTTTTCCATCGCTGAACACACTGGTTATTTTTTCACTTTCTGTAGATAAACAATTGGAGAGGAGTGAAGGAAAGGTGAGGTTTTCCTGTTGGGAAGGGAAGATTACAGTTAACTTGCATGGGAAAAGCACAAATGTCAAAGTGCCACCAGGGCCAACAGCCAACTAACAGGAATGGCAAATGCTAGAGTGGCATAAGTCCTCAGACAGATGGTCAAAGCAAACAGTAGAGAGTAGCGGAGTCAACGGATTAATGTTCAGATTAGGCACAGACAAACCAATCCTAAACAGAGTCTAAATTCAGGACTGGTAGACAGAGCAATGCCTGACAGTAGCAGCTCCACATTGTTTGCAACCTCCAAGCTCCAGTTGGGAGCCATGTGGTGCTTATATATCTCTAAAGGCACATTACTGTTTCATGTGAAAAGGTCCTTTGATAGCCACAGGATACGTTCAAGTAAAAGGGATCACAGATCAACCTGTTCCTCAAATATTATACAATAAATGTACCTAGTCTATGGCCTCCACCTCAGTCACACACTATAGTTTAGAAAGTGGCAACTGCAGCTAAGCCATCAACTTTTTAACATGCTAACTACCATACCTCCCAACTGTCCACCATTTGGAACCAAATCCCTCCATCCCTCTTTGCTCCTCAGCTGTCCCTCTTTTGGGTCTATAAAAAGGTTCTATTTAACCAACGAAACTGTTATTCTGCTATAAAATCTACATTC